CCACCCATCCACCCATCCACCCACCCATCTATTCACCCACCCACCCACTCATCCATACACCCACCTGCCCAGTACTTTGCACACCTGCCATGTGTGTCCAACCCCAGGATATTCCATGCTGAGGAGCTGGGCTCTCCAGGAAAGATGTAGAGAGGAATGAGAGAAGTTGGCTTTCTGAGAAAAGCCAGCACTGTTGGGGAGGAAGAGGAATCTGTGAGAGATTCAGAGGAGGAACAAACCAAAGGCACAAGGGAACCCAGGACACGTCATCCCAGACACCCAGCGACAAAAGCTTCAGGAGGGAGCAGGCTTAGCAGGATGGCACCCAGAGTCAAGCCAAGGACAGAAGAGTTCCCATTGCATTTGGGAACCAGGTACACCTCCATCGCTCAGGGAGAACAGCTTCAGGGCGTGTTGAGGGCAGAGCCAGATGGCAATGAGTTATGGAGGAGCCCTCAGGAGGCTCTAGAAGTGAGGCCAGTCCTGCCTTTAAGTGCCGGAGGGTAGGGCTGGAACAAGAGGAACGAAGCTTTGCAGTGTTTGTCAAGACAAGAATGATGTTTGACCATGGGATGCAGGCATGGCTGTTTCCAGGTGCATGCAAGTCTATAGGCAAAGAAAATTAAGTTTCTAGAGTTCATGCTGATGCACTTCTTTGCCCTGTGCGTGGGAAGCGAGACCCTCTGCCGGGAGGCAGGCAACACAGCGTGGCCAGGGTTTGAGAGGGACACCAAGTGAAATGTTCCCTATGGAGACAGGGCCCGGAGCTGCTGAGCCTGGGTGCCTCTGTGCCGGCTTCTCCAGCAACACTTGCCGCTTACACAGCGTCCTCCAGCTGCTGAAACAATGATCACTAATGGGGCAGCTTCAAACAACAGACATCCTCTCCCAGCGCTGGAGGCCAGAAGTCTGTGACTGAGTAGGCAGTGATCAAGGAGTAGGCAGTGCTGGTTCCCTCTGAGGCTCTGAGGCTGTGAAGCTCTGAGGGAGAACCTGTCCCAGGCCTCTCTCCCAGCTCCTGGGGGCTCCCGGCAGTCCTTGGCGTCCCTCAGCTTATGGACACACTCCTCCCATCTCCTTGCCACACACGTGGCCTTCTCCGTGTGTCTGTGTCCAAATTTCTCGCTGCTTATAAAGACACGGCCATTGGATTCAGGGTCCACCCGAAATCCAGGATGATCTTGTCTCAAGATCCTTGATTACATCTGCAAATGCCATTTCTCCAAACCAGGGAGCATTCTGGGTTCTGGGTGGACGTTCTTTTGCAGGGCCACCATTCCTACCCACTACACCATGTGTGGGAGTTTCCAGCGTAGGCAAAGACAATGTCCCGGGAACTGAAACGAAGCCCAGGTAGGAGCTGCTGAGATACGGGGACAGGAAGAAGACAGGATTGTGGGGTCCTCAGGGGGACACCCTATGGGAGCAGAGAAGAGGGAGCTAGAAGCAAAGCCAGCATGAACCGAGGCAGGAATTGGACGCCTCCAAGGAGTAACCTAGAGGAAGCAGGAGGGGGAGACCTGAGGATTGGCAGAGGAGAGAATGGAAGTGGACGAGAAGCAGGCCCAGCGTCCCCAGACGGCAGGAGCAGCCGTCCTATAGGCAGCTGCCAGGAGCAGGGACACCCGACACACCCAGGATGGCCCTGGGGACAGGGCAAGAAGCCATAAGGATCAGACGTAAGAAAGTCGGCCTGTCTCACAAGCATGTCTTTCTCCTGGGGCCTGTGCCGTGCGTATCAGAGCCAGCACACACGTCGGCACGCACTCAGTGACTCCTACCAAGGCAGCATCACAAATTTGACGCAAATATCTTCAAAGTAGAAGGCAGAAAGCAACAGCCTCTGCATAGATTTGCAAATCAGTCCCCCCTACTGAAGACCAACTGGACTCGGAATTCAGTTCTCAGCTGCGACAGGCATGGAGACACCCTGCTTCGCGTAGAGACGTATGAAGGTTTCCTCTATTATGCCGGATAATACAGGGTGCTGCACAGCAAAGACATTCAGCTCTCAGTTCTCTGTTGTGATAGAGGTTCAGGAAGGAGCGGAGGTCCCAGGACAAGAGCACACTCACAGAAGACTGAGTGTCTGGCCGGGCACGGTGGCTCATGTCTGTAATCCCAGCACTTTGGGAAGCTGAGGTGGGCAGATCATCTAAAGTCAGGAGTTCAAGACTAGCCTGGCCAACGTGGCGAAACCCCATCTCTACTAAAAATACAAAAATTAGCCAGGCGTGGTGGTGTGTGCCTGTAATCCCAGCTACTTGGGAGGCCAAAACAGGAGAATCACTTGAACCCAGGAGGCAGAGGTTGCAGTGAGCTGAGATCACACCACTGCACTCCAGCCTGGGCAACAGAGCAAGACTCCATCTCAGAAGAAGATGAAAAAAAAAAGAGTGAGCATCTGTCTAAAGAGGGCTGTCTGTCGGTTGACGTAGGGCAGGCTGGCTGTGTGTGCTAACAGGAGCTTCCTGCTTAGGCCCTGAGCATCCTGGAAATGATGCACTTGCTGTGCTCACTGGCACTCAGGGGAGCCAGGCTCTAGTGATGCTTTTAGCAGACGCTGATTTGGCGACACTTACCCTGGACAGGCCGTCTTCTCTGAGCTTTAAAAATATCAGCCCATGTAGTCCTTGGAAATGAGGGTCATGGAAACATCACCCATGTTTACAGATGAGAAACCAGGGACACAGGCATGTGCAGTAACTTGCCAAAGCAGCAGCTGGCCATGGTAGAGCCAACTCAAGCCTGGGTAGTCAGGTCCCAGAGTCCACACCCCTCACCGCCATGGCGGGCCACCTCCACACAAACCACCCAGAGGTGTCTGTGGCTGAAAGTCCGGTGTGGCTCTTCAAGGATTGCTGGTTGTATTGATTTGGACTCTTACACTGAACATGGCAAATTCAACTCAAGCTAACTGAAGCTTAAAAAAAAAAAGCACCAAGGGGTGCTTCAGGCATGGCTGGATCCAGGAGTCCAGATGATGTAATGAAATATCCCCGCTCCTATCCTTGTCTCTCCTTTCTACCCACTTCCTGTCCCCACCTTCCCGCCCCTGAGATGACATCATGAGATCTTTCTCCTTTTCTGTTCTCCCATCCCCCAGCCCTTGGTATGTGCATCGCCTGTGATAGCAAGAACGGCTCCCAGCTGTTCTAGACCTACAGCACCCCCATAGCTAGCAAGCCCAGAGAGGGCACAGCCCTCACGATCCTGGCACCCTCCTCCGACCCTTACAGGGCCTGCAACTTGCCCCTCTGGCACTCTTGTTTGGACCCATTGCCATACAGGCGTGCCAAGCCTGAGGGCAGCCCCAGCAGAATTGGGTGGAGGTGAGGAGGGGCGTTTACCAAGGCAGGGACACTGGCAGACACAGAGCAGTGGCCGTGTCATCGGCACCTCCTGTCACCCCCAGGGTGGTGAGCAGCTGGATCGAGAGGCGCAAGGTGCAGTCGGAGAAGGCCAACCTAATGATCCTCTTTGACAAGTACCTACCCACGTGCCTGGACAAGCTGCGCTTTGGGTTCAAGAAGATCACACCAGTGCCGGAGATCACGGTGATCCAAATGATCCTGTACCTGCTGGAGTGCCTGCTCACAGAGAAGACCGTGCCCCCCGACTCCCCCAAGGAGCTGTACGAGCTGTACTTCGTGTTCGCCTGCTTCTGGGCCTTCGGCGGGGCCATGTTCCAGGACCAGGTGATGCACCTCGGGGGCCTGGCCACCCACACAGGGTCTCTCGGCATCCCGCTGAGCTGGGCCCTGATTTTCACTTCTGTGTCTCAACAGCTTGTAGATTATCGAGTGGAGTTCAGCAAATGGTGGATCAATGAATTTAAGACCATCAAGTTCCCCTCGCAGGGAACGATTTTCGACTACTACATTGATCCTGACACAAAAAAGTTCCTGCCCTGGACAGATAAAGTGCCCTCCTTTGAGCTGGATCCTGATGTCCCACTGCAGGTAACCGTCCCCAAAGCAGGGCCACTGACTGGCAAGTGAGAGGCAGGAATCTGTGCAGCACCCCCCACACGCCTGCACAGAACGTCCAAACGCCCGATTTTCAACAGTAGGACCTTTTCGGTAGAACATGGCCTGCACGCTAACAGGAGACAGAAGTGTCTGAGAGTCACAGCTCCCTCCCCTCCCTCCGCCTCCCCCAGGCCTCTTTGGTCCACACCACGGAAACCATCCGCCTCCGCTACTTCATGGACCTGCTCATGGAGAAGTCCTGGCCAGTGATGCTGGTGGGGAACGCGGGGACGGGCAAGTCAGTGATGATGGGTGACAAGCTGGAAAGCCTGAACACTGACTACTACCTGGTGCAGGCCGTGCCCTTCAACTTCTACACGACCTCGGCCATGCTGCAGGGTAAGGCTGGTTTGGTCACACCCTGCCTACCCGGCTGACCCCACAGCCCCCATTCCCTGCTGTCCCCTCTCACTGCAGGCCCAGGCCACTTTGCACCTTCTCACTTCCCACGCCCCACCCGCTAGCCTTTCCTTCCTGAGTCGGAGACAAAGGAGGAGCAGCCGGGACCCCTCTTTCTGGTGCTCCCCGGTGGGCATGGTGATGGGGGTTTGATGGCCAGTTGAGGCAGCAGGTCCCCCGGGAGTGTCTCAGCCAATCTGAGGTGATCCAAAGGTGACGGAGGGCAAGGCTCCTGCCACCCTCACCTCTCATCGCTCTGTTTATTCCTGGGGCTGTACCTGGTGCCCCCTCAAGGGCCACTTCCAGGGCAGGTGCATTTGGTAAAGTTGGATCCCAGCCAGGTCCCATCTTCTGTCCTCCGGGGGAGCAGGTAACGCCCCTCCCTACCTAACAGGCTCTGGCTCAGGAGACTCAGGCGGGCGGCTGACCCTCTGCCCTCTCTAGGGGTGCTGGAGAAGCCGCTGGAGAAGAAATCGGGGAGGAACTACGGGCCGCCAGGCACTAAGAAGCTCATCTACTTCATCGACGACATGAACATGCCCGAGGTGGACAAGTATGGGACGGTGGCCCCACACACCCTCATCCGGCAGCACATGGACCACGGGCACTGGTTAGATGGGGCGGGGCCCGGGGGAAGGGCGTGGCCACGGGGCAGTGAGGGCGGGGCCAGGGAGGGGCGCAGGAAGAGGTGGAGCCCCAGGGCAGTAGGGCCGGACTGGTGTGGGGCCATGGGGACCGGGCTGCAACCTGGGTTGGGAGACACGGGTCGTAGCTGGGCCCTCAAGCTTGTGTGGCCACAAGGCATTGAGGCAGGGCCAGGGCAGGGGAGAGGTTGTATCAGTTTCGTCCATCGCCCATTTCACAAACATATAGCTGTGGCCTAGAGCCCCAGTGGAGGGGATCCCCCCTTCCACCGAGGTGTCTGTCCCACCGGGAGGTGAAGAAGCACATTACCTGGTAAAGGAAGAGCCCTGAGGAAAACCCCCAGCACAGACACAGAGGAGCCCCCAGTTGCTCAGAGTCCCAGCAGAGAGATGCCCCTGGGGAGATAGTGCTCAGCTGGAAGCTGTGTCGCCCTGGCTGTGGGACCTTGGAGAGCATTCTGGGTGGAGAGAATGCCACGTGTAAAGGCCTTGTGGCAGGTGAAGGAGCCCAGGGAGGGCCCGGTGTGGCAGGAATGTGAGAGCCAGAGGGAGAGGGTGCCCAGGGCAGCTGCGGCCAGAATCCCAGGGCCTCAGTACAGAGTGCAGACTTTCTCCTAATGGCACCAAGAAGCCGAGGGTGGCACGTTTAGGTTTGCAGCTTGGAAAGATGAGAACATTCAGGTCAGTTGTCTCTCTTTTTTTTTTTTTTTTTTGAGACGAAGTCTCGCTCTGTCACCCAGGCTGGAGTGCAGTGGCTCGATCTTGGCTCACTGCAACCTCCACCCCCTGGGTTCCAGGAATTCTCCTTCCTCAGTCTCCTGAGTAGCTGGGAATAAAGGCGTCCGCCACCACACCCAGCTAATTTTTGCACTTTTAGTAGAGAAGGGGTTTTGCTATGTCGGCCAGGCTGGTCTTGAACTCCTGACCTCAGGTGACCCACCCGCCTCGGTCTCCCAAAGTGCTGGGATTACAGGTGTGAGCCACCGTGCCCAGCCACAGTTGTCTCTTAAAATAAGCAAGTATCCCAGGCCAAACCGGAGCCTTCTCAGGCCAAAGGAGCCTAGAAACCGGTCCGTTTGTTCGTGAAGCCTGGTCTCATGCCAAGAAAGGGAGGCATGGGGGATTAGGTTGCCTACTTAAGGTCAGGGCCCTAATGAGTGGCAGAGCTGGATTATTTTTTTTATATATATTTTTTTCCGAGACAGAGTTTCGCTCTTGTTGCCCGGGCTGGAGTGCAATGGCACGATCTCAGCTCACTGCAACTTCTGCCTCCTGGGTTCAAACGATTCTCCTGCCTCAGCCTCCTAAGTAGCTGAAATTATGGGTGCCTGCCACCACGCTCAGCTAATTTTTGTATTTTTGTAGAAATGGGGCTTTACCGTATTGGCCAGGCAGGTCTTGAACCCGTGACCTCAGGTGATCCGCCCACCTCAGCCACCCAAAGTGCTGGGACTATAGGCGTGAGCCACCGCACTCAGCCGGAGCTGGATTTTGAGTGCAGATATGTCTGACTCCATCACCTGCCTTTTCCTCACTAAACGACACTCCCAGAGCTCACAACTGTAGGAAGCCTATGCTGTGCTGCAGGCTGTGATGTGGGGACGTGGGCATGAGAGGTGGCTCCCTGCGGGAGGTGATATAGCTGCCACTCTGAGCAGGGAGCCTGGAGAGTCTGACATCATTTCAGAAGAATTGCCAGGCCGGGCGCGGTGGCTCAAGCCTGTAATCCCAGCACTTTGGGAGGCCGAGACGGGCGGATCATGAGGTCAGGAGATCGAGACCATCCTGGCTAACCTGGTGAAACCCCGTGTCTACTAAGAAATACAAAAAACTAGCCGGGCGAGGTGGCGGGCGCCTGTAGTCCCAGCTACTCGGGAGGCTGAGGCAGGAGAAGGGCGTAAACCTGGGAGGCAGAGCTTGCAGTGAGCTAAGATCCGGCCACCGCACTCCAGCCTGGGCGACAGAGCGAGACTCCGTCTCAAAAAAAAAAAAAAAAAAAAGAATCGCCCGTGGGGTGGGGTGGGAGATTTGAGGGTACCCAGACAGGAGAGGAGGGCAGGCGCATGCATGAGAGCCCACTCGTTCCTCTCTGCAGGCAGGTCTACTATGAGGACCGTGGGGGCTCAGCCTCGGCTCCCCCAAGTCTCAAGTCCCCTTCCAAGAGCTTCACAGGGTCACATGCTCTTGTAAAATTTCCTTAAGATTTTTGCTTTCTTTTCCTTAAGGAGGGACCTCCACATTCTTAAGCTTCAGCCCTGGGTCCACATCTGCCCTGGAGTTTACCCTGAAGGATCTTCAGGAGGGGCGGCAGAATCAGATTTGAGTTTTCAAAAGATAAAAGATCCCTCTAGAATATTGGATTAACATGGCCCCACGACAAAAGGGAAGGATGGACCGTTTAGTGGATGTGTCAGGAAAAGGCTCACTTGTGGAAGAAAAGTCAGGCAGACCAGGATGGGGCCCGTGGGAAGGACAGGCCCACAGGCAAAGGGTGAACTGTGAGGTGGATAGAAGCAAACAGGGACAACATCTGTGACATGAGAAGTGTGCGCGGGGGAGGACTTCTCAGACAAAAGTTTCACAAGCACAAACAGAAAGGCAAAAAATTGATGGCTGTGATTTAAATCAAAATTAAGGAATTTCACTCAATGAGAGACACCATGGACAAATATAATGGAGAAATAAAAGAATGGAAGAAAACATTTGCAATGTGTAAAATTGACAATGGATTAATATCTGAAATATACAAGGAATTACTAGAAACTAACAAGAGACAACAACTTCCAGCATACAGCGTGCATAATGGTGGGGGAAAAAACAAAAGTGCTGAGTGCAGTGGCTCATGCCTGTAATCTCAACATTTTAGGAGGCAGCGGCAGGAGGATCACTTGAGCCCAGGTCACATAGTGAGACCCTGTCTCTACAAAAACTTAGCCGGTCATGGTAGTGTGAGCCTGAGGTTGGGAGGATGACTTGAGCCCAGGAGATCAAGGCTGCCATGAGCCATGATCACCAATGCACTCCAGCTGGGGTGACAGAGCAAGACCCTGTCTCAGAAAAAAAAAAAAAAGTAGTGTAGTGTGACATCAAGGAAATTATTCAGCCTATTTTATTTATTTTTTAAACAAAGTCTCGCTCCGTTGCCCAGGTTGGAGTGCACTGGCATGACCTCGGCTCACTGCAACCACTGCCTCCCGGGTTAACGCCATTCTCCTGCCTCAGCCTCCCGGGTAGCTGGGATTACAGGCGCATGCCACCACACCTGGCTAATTCTTGTATTTTTAGTAGAGACAAGGTTTCACCATGCTGGCCGGGCTGGTCTCGATCTCCTGACCTCAAGTGATCTGCCCACCTCAGCCTCCCAAAGTGCTGGGATTACAGGCATGAGCCACTGTGCCTGACCTATTCAGCTTATTTAATAATAGCAGCCATTAATAATTATCCTGATGACAGGGATGGTGAACGTTTATTGCATACTTACTGTATGTCAGGTACCCTTCCCAGCGTTTTTTCATATGTTAGCTCATTTTATCCTCCTAATGACCCATTGCACAGGAGAGAATATTGAGGCACAGAGATGTTAACCAACTTCCCAGAGCCCCAGCATTGCTCAGGGGAAGAACTGGAACATAAACCCCAGCCTGCTCTCTGAGCCACTCTTTTGCCTCTTGTTTCAAAATTTCTCTTGAGAGCATGAAGTCACAGCAGCTGCTTCACATATTGTCAGTATCTGTGGAAGGTTTTTAAAACCACATGGAGTAATCCCAGCATTTGGGAGTCCGAGGCAGGCAGATCACAAGGTCAGGAGATCCAGACCATCCTGGCTAACACGGTGAAACCCCGTCTCTACTAAAAATACAAAAAAATTAGCTGGGCATGGTGGCAGGTGCCTGTAGTCCCTGCCTCGGGAGGCTGAGGCAAGAGAATGGTGTGAACCCGGGAGGCGGAGCTTCCAGTGAGCCAAGATCACGCCACTGCACTCCAGCCTGGGCGACAGAGCAAGACTCTGTCTCAAAAAAACAGCAACACCACCACCAAAGAAAAAAAAACAAGGAGGGCATTCTTGGAAGCGAAGTGGGGGCAGGGGATGGCTCCTCCAGGCCGGGGGTGCAGCATGAACGCTGGTCTCCCCACTCAGGTACGACCGACATAAGCTGACGTTAAAAGACGTCCATAACTGTCAGTACGTGGCCTGCATGAACCCCACTTCTGGATCCTTCACCATCGACCCCAGGCTTCAGGTAAGCAGAAACCACACTCGTTCCCGTCACCTGCCGTGAGTCTGAGGCTTGCTTCTGGCAAATGAGAGGAAAAACTTTGGTTTAGGATGTTAGGGCTGCAGGCTGACATTCTCTGGAGAACTCCTTAACCTTGCAGAATGTATCAGAAAATTCCAGGGCATGGGGAGGACGGACAGCTAGGCAGCCTTCCCTGTGACCTGGTCAACTGGCAGAGTTAGCCGATAAAAATGCAGTCAAATCTGAACTCCAGATAAATACTTTTTTAGTCTAAGTATGTTACATACAATATTTGGGGCATCCTGTTCTTTTTTTGTTGTTTTGTTTGTTTTTGTTTTGAGGCTGAGTCTCACTGTGACGCTCAGGTTGGAGTACAATGGCACTATCTCGGCTCACTGCAACCTCTGCTTTACAGGTTTAAGCGATTCTCTTGCCTCAGCCTGCCAAGTAGCTGAGACTACAGGTGTGCGCCACCACACCTGGCTAATTTCTGTATTTTTAGTAGAGAGGAGGTTTCACCATATTGGCCAGGCTGATCTCGAACTTCTGACCTCAAGTGGTCCACCCGCCTCGGCCTCCCAAAGTGCTGGGATTACAGACGTGAGTCACTGTGCCTGGCCTGGGACATACTATTCTTAAAAAAAAAAAAAAATATATATATATATATATATATATACACACACACACACACACACACACACACACAGAGATACATATGTATATTTGTTGTTTATCTGAAATTTAGATTTAGCAGGGCATCCTGTATTTTATCTGTAGCCCTTACCCGGACAGACTTTGCCTCTAAGTTATCCAAACACACAGAGACCTGGATTTAAACCCAGGCCTGTGCTCTGAGCCCCTCTCTTGCCTATGCCAACATTCTTCTTGAGAGCATGAAGTAAATGTGACTGTTTCACGTGTAGTGATACTTAATGCGGTTTTACCACGTGCAAGGCACAAGGAGGGTAACTGCCCATTCTGACAATGCCTAAAACACCTTCGACCATGAGGACAGGGGCCACTCTCCCGCGAAGGTGGCCCTGGCCCCAGGCAGGACCCCAAGAGCTGACTGATGGGAGTTTGTGGTTGTTCCCGGGCAGCGCCATTTCTGCGTGTTTGCTGTGAGCTTCCCTGGCCAGGAGGCCCTCACCACCATCTACAACACGATCCTGACACAGCACCTGGCCTTCCGCTCGGTCTCCATGGCTACCCAGAGGATAAGCAACCAGCTGGTGGCCGCGGCCCTGGGTAAGCTGGCTGGCCTCATCCCCTCTCCCGTCGGTAAAACCTACGGCTCTGTGGGCTGATGGTTCTTCACATTTTCCCTTGATAAATATTTTATTTGTACTTCTGAATCAATATTTTTAAAACGATGCTGTTTCAACAGGAGAAATTGTGAAATACAATTGCTTCATGGGGAGGTAGAGGCTAGGAAATTCGATACACAAATGATTTAAGGAGAACAGCAAACTTCCTCTTCGAAGAGCTGTGCAGATTTCTTACTCCAGTTGTCACCATTTTGTAGTCCATTGGCTTTAGAAACTTGAAGCTTGCACTTCCTGGGGCCATTAAGAGTACATAAGAATCGACGTGTCTTTTTCTTCTAACAGCTTTGCATCAGAAAGTTGCAGCAACATTTCTTCCCACGGCCATTAAGTTTCATTATGTCTTCAACCTCAGGGACCTCTCCAATATTTTCCAGGTACTGCTCTTGTAGCTTTGTGTCATGCCCACCTTACAGCCCAGTGCCCAATCCACAGTTGCTTTCCTCACCACAGCTCTCAGGGAGGTGTGGACTGACGATGGTGGTGATGGTGGTAATGGTGATGATGATGATAATGGTGGTGGTGATGGTGATGACGGTGGTGGTGACAGTGGTAGTGATGGTGGTAATGGTGATGGTAGTGGTGATGGTGGTGGTGATTAATGATGGTGGTGATGGCAATAGTGGTAGTGATGATGATGGTGATGGTGGTAGTGATGGTGGTGATAATGGGGATGGTGGTGATGGTGATGGTGGTGGTGATGGTAAGAATGGTGATAATGATGGTGGTGATGATGGTGATGGTGGTAGTGATGGTGGTGATGGTGATAATGGTGGTGGTAGTGATGATGGTGATGTGATCGTGGTAATGGTAATGTGGTGGTGATGTGATGGTGGTGGTGGTGGTGGAGATGATGATGGTGATGATGTGGTCATGGTTATGATGATAGTGATGGTGATGATGGTGATGGTAGTGATGGTGGTGATGTGATGGTTATGATAGTGATGGTGATGATGGTGGTGATGTGATGGTGGTGATGGTGATGGTGGTGGTGATGGTGATGATGGTGATGGTGGTGGTGATGGCAATGATGGTGGTGGTGATGGCAGTGATGGTGGTGATGATGGTGGTGATGGTGGCGATGGTGATGGTGATGATGGTGACGGTGGTGATGATTGTGGTGATGTGATGGTTATGATAGTGATGGTGGTGGTGATATGGTGTAATGGTGATGATGGTGGTGGTACGGTGGTAATGGTGATGGTGGAGATGATGATAATGGCGATGGTGGTGACGATGGTGATGATGGTGATGTGGTAATGATGATGGTGGTGGTAATGATGATGATGGTGGTGGTGGTGGTGATGGTTATGATGATAGTGATGGTGGTGGTGATGGTAATATTTCATTTACTGACTGCTTACTCTGAGTCAGAGATTGGGTTTGGCACCTTACATTCCCATTTTCTCCTCCTCCAACAACACATAAGTTTGGTGCTTATATCCCCATTTTACTGAGCAGGAGTTTGTGGCTGAGGGAGGCTAAGTTATGCCCACCTCCTCCCATTTAAAGTATCAGCCCAGCCGGGTGCAGTGGCTCACGCTTGTAATCCCAGCACTTTGGGAGGTTGAGGCAGGCAGATCACGAGGTCAGGAGTTCGAGACCAGCCTGGCCAACATGGTGAAACCCCATCTCTACTAAAAATACAAAAATTAGCCAGGCATGGTGGTGCGTGTCTCTGTAGTCCCAGCTACTCAGGAGGCTGAGGCAGGAGAATTACTTGAACCCAGGAGGCGGAGGTTGCAGTGAGCCGAGATTGTGCCACTGTACTCCAGCCTGGGCAACAGAGTGAGACTACATATCAAAAAGTAAAAATTAAAATAAAATAAAGTATCAGCCCAAATGCCACGCCCTCACAGAGGCCGCTCCTCATCCCTCACACTCTGTCTCACTGCCCTGGGTGTGTTATTCAGAGCACACATCATAGTGTGCAGTTACCTTGTTTCTTTGTGTACCTGGCCACTTCCCCCACTGGCATTTCAACTCCACAGCGTCAGGGTCTGTTGCATCATCGCTGTGCCTGGGAAATTCAAGGCCCTCAATAAGCTCTTGTCAAACTTGCCCAGGATTGCTTGCTTAGTAAATGGCCAAGCCAGGACTGGACCAGATAGGCTTGCTGCGGTACCCAAGCCTGTGACCTGCCCTGCGGCATCAGTCACCTGGTTCCCCTTGCAATTAGCCTTTTTTGTCCCTCCTCCACCATTCACTCTACTAGAGGATGAGGCCCCAACCCTGTCCTGTGAGGAAAGCGCCACATCTCTCAGGACACAGACACACACTCTGGTATCCGGGATTTGTGGGACTTCCATGGTGAGTGGCTTCCCTGGCCCCAAGTGAATGCTGTGCCAACAGCTGAACAGGTCCCCTCACCCCGGGGGAGGGGCTGCTGCTCAGGTCATCTGTGTCTAGCACTGGGCTCGCCTTCATAACAGCTGATGGTGCTGACCATCCCGTGTTTGGGGCAGGGACTCTTATTTTCCACAGCAGAAGTTCTGAAAACCCCACTGGACCTTGTCCGCCTTTGGCTACATGAGGCTGAACGAGTGTATGGTGACAAAATGGTTGACGAAAAAGACCAGGAAACATTGCATAGAGTCACCATGGCCTCCACCAAGAAGTTCTTTGATGTAAGTCAAGCTGCTCGGTCCCTCTGCCGAGCCCAGAACGGCTCCAAGAGGGTGAAGCATTGGCAGCCAATGAGAACTGAAGCCCTCTCGGAAGGGCCCTTTGTTGGGTGTGGGAAGATCCATGATAGGTTCCACGCAATTATTCCAGCACGTGGCCATGGATCTGAGGGTTCCGCGCGATAATTCCAGCATATGGCCATGGATCTGAGGGTTCTCCGTGATAATTCCTGCACGTGGCCATGGATCCGAGGGTTCACATGATAATTCCAGCACGTGGCCATGGATCCGAGGGTTCCACGCGATAATTCCAGCACGTGGCTGTGGATCCAAGGGTTCCACGTGATAATTCCAGCATGTGATTGTGGATCCGAGGGTTCCACGCGATAATTCCAGCATGTGACTATGGATCCGAGGGTTCACACGATAATTCCAGCACGCGGCTGTGGATCCAAGGGTTCCACGCGATAATTCCAGCATGTGACTGTGGATCCAAGTGAGGAAGAATTGACCACTCAGTAGATCAGGGTGTGATCACCTCCCTCTGTCCACTTGGGGTGGAGAAAGGCCCTGCTTGGCTCAGTGTGCCTTGCTGGTGTGTCCCATGTATTCTTGGCAGAATCATTTCTTTGGACTATGAATTCATTCCTAATATGGTGGGGATGGGACCCTCCCACCCTAGGAAATTTTGCCCCAGTGGTTTGCTGGGCCCACAGCAGCAGATTTGGGCCCCTGGAGAGTTGGCCTGGTACCCCGGCGTGACCTCCTAGGCCACTTTGGCAAAGTACTGAGCTGCTGTTAACTACCTGTGCGGTCGTGGTGGCAAAAACCAGAAGTATTGTCTTTTTTTTCTCTAGGATCTTGGTGATGAACTCTTATTTGCCAAGCCAAATATCTTCTGCCACTTTGCTCAAGGGATTGGCGATCCTAAATACGTTCCTGTAACCGACGTGGCTCCTCTGAACAAGCTCCTCGTGGATGTCCTGGACAGCTACAATGAAATTAATGCAGTCATGAATTTGGTGAGCAGGCTGGAGCTGATAGCAAGGGCACAGGACCTGGACAGGGTCACCCTCTCCGGTTGCATTGTCAACATCCGAGTGGCATTCTGTGGGGCTGTGTGGCGCACAGTGCACACCTCAGCGCGTGCAGTCTGTGCTGGTGAACAGAGGTGATTCCAGGTGCTACAGGATGTTGCAGGATCTCTCCGGTTTCTGTAGGTGCTGTTTGAGGATGCCGTGGCTCATATCTGCAGGATTAATCGCATCTTGGAGTCTCCCCGGGGGAATGCCCTGCTGGTGGGGGTGGGTGGCAGTGGCAAACAGAGCCTCTCCCGCCTGGCAGCATACATCAGCGGCCTTGACGTGTTTCAAATCACCCTCAAGAAGGGCTACGGAATCCCCGACCTCAAGGTGAGAGCTTACAGTGCAATAAGCTGCCTTTTGGGGTAGAGTCGGGGAGTAAAGAAAAACTTCACTCCCTTTTCCAAAATGAAGCCAGCCAGCACAGGGAGTCCGCGCATCACCAATAGCCCTTATCTAAAGGATCTTTATCTTAGAAACAGAGGCCAGAAAACCTTCCAGCCAGTGTGCATGCCCATGTGACTGAGGTGAAGAGTGTGAAACCTTCCTGCCCAAGGGACTGAGGTGAAGAGTGTGAAACTTTCTGGCCAGTGTGACTGAGGTGAAGAGTGTGAAACCTTCCAGCCCGTGTGACTGAGGTGAAGAATGTGAAACCCTCTGGCCTGGGGAACTGAGGTGAAGAGTGTGAAACCTTCCAGCCCGCGTGACTGAGGTGAAGAGTGTGAAACCTTCCGGCCCCTGTTACTGAGGTGAAGAGTGTGAAACCTTCCAGCCCATGTGACTGAGGTGAACAGTGTGAAACCTTCCGGCCCGGGGGACTGAGGTGAAGGGTGTGAAATCTTCCAGCCCATGTGACTGAGGTGAAGAGTGTGAAACCTTCCTGCCCCGGGGGTCTGAGGTGAAGAGTGTGAAACCTTCCGGCCCATGTGACTGAGGTGAAGAGTGTGAAACCTTCCAGCCCATGTGACTGAGGTGAAGAGTGTGAAACCTTCCAGCCCATGTGACTGAGGTGAAGAGTGTGAAACCCTCTGGCCTGGGGGACTGAGGTGAGGAGTATGAAACCTTCCGGCCCAGGGGGCTGAGGTGAAGAGTGTGAAACCTTCCTGCCCGAGGGACTGAGGTGAGGAGTGTGAAACCTTCCGGCCCAGGGGGCTGAGGTGAAGAGTGTGAAACCTTCCTGCCCGAGGGACTGAGGTGAAGAGTGTGAAACCTTCCAGCCCGTGTGACTGAAGTGAAGAGTGTGAAACCCTCTGGCCTGGGGGACTGAGGTGAGGAGTGTGAAACTTTCCAGCCCGTGTGACTGAGGTGAAGAGTGTGAAACCTTCCGGCCCGTGTGACTGAGGTGAAGAGTGTGAAACCTTCCTGCCCGAGGGACTGAGGTGAAGAGTGTGAAACCTTCCTGCCCGAGGGACTGAGGTGAAGAGTGTGAAACCCTCTGGCCCGTGTGACTGAGGTGAAGAGTGTGAAACCTTCCTGCCCAAGGGACTGAGGTGAAGAGTGTGAAACCTTCCGGCCCGTGTGACTGAGGTGAAGAGTGTGAAACCCTCCGACCCGTGTGACTGAGGTGAAGAGTGTGAAACCTTCCAACCTGTGTGACTGAGGTGTGAAGAGTGTGAAACCTTCCGGATCATGTGACTGAGGTGAAGAGTGTGAAACCTTCCGGCCTGTGTGACTGAGGTGTGAAGAGTGTGAAACCTTCTGGCCTGTGTGACTGAGGTGAGTGAAACCTTCCGGCCTGTGTGACTGAGGTGAAGAGTGTGAAACCTTCCGGATCATGTGACTGAGGTGAAGAGTGTGAAACCTTCCGGCCTGTGTGACTGAGGTGTGAAGAGTGTGAAACCTTCTGGCCTGTGTGACTGAGGTGAAGAGTGTGAAACCTTCCAGCCCGGGGGACTGAGGTGAAGAGTGTGAAACCTTCCGGCCCAGATCATGTGACTGAGGTGAAGAGTGTGAAACCTTCCGGCCTGTGTGACTGAGGTGTGAAGAGTGTGAAACCTTCCAGCCCGGGGGACTGAGGTGAAGAGTGTGAAACCTTCCGGCCCGAGGGACTGAGGTGAAGAGTGTGAAACCTTCCGGCCCGAGGGACTGAGGTGAAGAGTGTGAAGAATGTGAAACCTTCCGGCCTGTGTGACTGAGGTGAAGAGCGTGAAACCTTCCGGCCCGTGTGACTGAGGTGAAGAGTGTGTCTATTGACTACTCAATGGACACAAGTCCAGAAAGTCAACCCAGATCACAGAGGCAGAGAGATTGGATTCCTGCCCTTGGTCACTAAGTGTCCCAAATTGTTCCCTGTTGTCTGTCCAGATTACAGAATTCAGAGCCGTGACTGGGTTTCTAACTGCGTGCCTGAGAGGCTGAATGGCTGCTTTTGGAACGAATGAAATAAACATTAGAGTAAACATAAGATCTCCCATGCCCAAGACACACTGCTGAGGGTTTTTATTGATTTCTTACTCCTGAACATCTGCTCTCCCAGGCAACTGCATGCCATTAGTTCAGAAGGAATCATCGTGCCTGAGATTAGACCTGAAATTGATTGCACCGTGCTACACAGTCATGCCTTCTCTGTGTCAGTGCTGGGGCCACTGTTGTGGGGGCAGGACGATGCCAGACCCAAGGGGGAGCCCTAAGGGGACCCTCCCGCAGCACATGTTCCTGAGGCAGTCGCTGGGCTCGTGGCTTTAGCAGGCAGACCTGGAGCCAGTGATGCTGGGAGTGGTGGGAGGCGTCTGCAGGCAGAGACCCTGGAGGGGCAGTTCAGGCTGTGCCAGGGACAGCCAACCTCTGGGAGAGCCTCCAGTTTCTGGCTGGCTGTTTTCTGCCTTCCCGGTGGATTCTACTCCATATAGAAAGGGACTGGCCTGCTCTTTTTTGAACTCAGATGGGCACTCCCGAACACAGCCCTGCCCTCTGGACCCATCAGCGGTATATCATGTCATGGGTTCTCAGCATATCTGATGGAGTTAGTTCACATTGGTGGTATCTGTGGCCACTCAAGTGTCGTTTGAACCTGGAGCCATATAGTTTTACTGAGCTTTCTCCGTTGAAGTCTCTAGTCTATAAGCTAAATCATGTTGGGTTACGTTCACGACAGCATCGTTTCCTTGCTCTGCCTCCCTGCGGGGATTTTCTTCCTGATCCTTCATGTTGGAGCTGATCATGGGTGCTCAGCCTCAGCCTCAGTGGTGCTATTTTATTTGTCGGCATCCGCTGCTGCGGCTCTGTGATCTGGGCTGTGGAATTTCACTGCCCCTACACGCATCACAAATCAGCTTGGCTATCACTGTCATTTCTTAAACCGCTTCTGTGGATTCAGAACTAAGGGCAGAGGTAAACAGGGCTAAAAGTTTCTGTATCGTGTTGGGGGAGCCAGACTCCTGAGCCATTTCCACATGATTCTTGTTCTAATAGTGCTGTCGTAGTAACAGGCTCACCCCTATGAGGGTAACATACATGTTTGTGATTATGTAATATAAAGTAGGTCCCAGAAGCTGTGGCACCTGCTGGAGGCTACAGGTGCACAGGAAAGGGGTGGAGAATGGACCCTGGAGGACAGTGTGCTGTGTGAAAAGCCCTGGGCTTGGTCCCAAGAAAACGAGACGCCATCAAGATGTCTGAGCAGGGGACAGAGCGGGCAGGATGTGGTAGTGTTCTAGGACACGTGAAGGGTAGTTTGAAAGCACAGAAACTGCTGTAGCGTGACCCGGGTGGAGATGGGGCACAAGCCCTGTGACCCCACAAAGGCTGAAAGCGGGCAGGTGCGACGATAACGGAGAATGGAGGAGGGGAAACCAGGGCCAGCGAGGGCTGTGCCTGCTGAGAGGGCATGCGTGACCTCGGGGGCTCGGCTGGGGTCCAGGATCCGAAACCTTCAGATGCTACCGCAGCTACCCTCCCCACACCCCACACCCCACACCCCACACACAGCCCCCGGGGGCCAGGCAGTGGGCAGTTTTTATTTCTGGGAAACCTTCCCCCCAGCCTGAGTCAGCAGCCAGAGCTGGGCTGCCCCATGAAGAAAGCCTTTCTGCAGAATGAGGGGCCGTGGTCTCAGCAGCTCAGGTACCTCCCACCCCCGGCTTCCTACAAATGAAAGGGGAGGGGTGAGAAGCAGCCATCGGTGGGGTGGGGGCTTGGTCTCGTGTTATTCTCAGGGAGGAGGTCTTGCTGCACATCTCACACCCCGCACTCCCAAATCCTAACCCTAACCCTAACCCTCGCAGCCCCACTCCCTAACCCTGACGTCTCACACACCCCCACTCCCAAATCTCGGCTCCGTGTCCTGCCTGTCCACTGCCAGTGGCATTGGCTATGGCAAGGAAAGGTGCCGCTGATGTTTTGGCCAGAGAAAGGGAAACCTGTGCCCTTTATTAATGGCTGGTCCCTAGACGGGCCTAGATGCAGGTGACGATTGCCGTCGTCGGCTGACAGTGATGACAGGGACGCAGGCAGTTCCAGCTTCAGTAGCACCATGGGGCTCTCAACCAAGACAGGAGGGAGGGTCAGGGAGAACCACCCTCGGGCCAGGCCCAGAGGAGACGCGATACCTGGGGATGAGGCTGTCAGTGCACAGCGGGACGCGTGGGCCTGGGAAGTGCGGGGACAGGATGCGGGTAGAGATGCGGGGACCAGACTCAGCAGCATAAGAGGGTGGGAGTGGAGGGGACTGTGCCAGAGAGTGAGCGGGTGAGGTGGAGGCAGGCCAGAATCCAGGGACAGCCCAGCGGTCACAGTGGGCAGGGTGAGGGCCACTCCACATGGGACAGCGTCGTTGTGAAACCCAGATGGGCCAGGCATGGTGGCTCAAGCCTGTAATCCTAAGGCAGGAGGATCACTTGAGCCCAGGAAGTCGAGGTTGCAATAAGCTGTGATCATGCCACTGCTCTCCAGCCTGGGTGACCGAGTGAGGCCCTATCTCTAAAAGAGTAAAATCAGAAAAAAGGAAAAGATTTCTGGTATGGTCAGTCTCCACCCAGTGTCCTTGCTACACTGTGAAGTGAGAAGAGTTTTTGACTCACGGTCATCGCTGGCTCTCACACTACGCCCCTTGCCTCAAGGCAGGGTCCAAGGACGTAGCCATGGCTCAAGTCCCACCTGCGGCCCACCCGCTTTTCCAGGCTCAGAGCTTCCCCTTGCTTTTTCTTAGCTTGTCAAAACATAGGAGATTTGAGGCTGGCTTCTGACTCCGGTCAACTCCCAAAGAGGAGGCCTGGTGAGGTTTCTCTCTGAACAGAGAGACTTCAGGGAGTCAGACTTTCTTCCGAAGAAGGGAGCAGCCATTGGGGTGCCTATATGGACACTTTTAAAGCCTCTTCAGTAAGTACAGAAGCCCATAGGTCTTGTTTTTTAAATTAAATATTATAGATAAGCAAATCACCAAAATGCTGGAAATATACATCACTACTTGGATAAACCTGGCAGGCGTTTCTGAACATATATATACATGGAAATGGCATATTCAAAAATAACAAGCTATTCCTACTGCTCTGTAACATGCTTTAAAAAAAAAAAAAAAAACTTTTCATTTATTCTTGCAAAATTCCTGTGAAATCATCTTGTCGCCCTGTCCTTAAATCCTGCTCTGGATGACTGTGAAAGGGGGTTGACTGTTAAGGCTCCCAGTCCAAGCCTGCAGTATATTTATTCAGGGCCTCTTAAGGTCTCCATTTAAGATTTTTTTCTTTCCTTTTGCATGTGTGGTAAAATATACATAGTATAAAAATTGACCATTTTCACTGTTATTTGTTTGTTTTTTTTGAGATGGAGTCTCACTCTGTTGCCCAGGCTAGAGTGCAATGGCACAATCTCAGCTCACTGCAACCTCCATCTCCTGGGTTCAAGTGAGTCTCATACCTCAGCCTCCCAAGTACCTGGGATTACAGGTGCACGCCACGACGTGTGGCTACTTGTATTTTTTGTAGAGACGAGGTTTCACCATGTTAGCCAGGTGGTCTTGAACTCCTGACCTCAGGTGATCCACCCACCTCAACCTCCCAAAATGCTGGGATTACAGGTGTGAGCCACCGTGCCCAGCCTGTTTTTTTTTTATTATTATTTTTATTTTTCCAAGACAAATAGAGTAAGACATTTTTGGCTGGACACGGTGGCTCACACCTATAATCCTAGCACTTTGGGAGGCTGAGGTGGGCAGATCACTTGAGGCCAGGAGTTCAAGACTAGCCTGGCCAACATGGTGAAACTCTGTCTCTACCAAAAATACAAAAATTAGCCGGGCATGGTGGCACGCGCCTGTAATCCCTTGGGAGGCTGAGGCAGGAGAACTCCTTGAACCCGGGAGGCAGAGGTTGCAGTGAACCAAGATCACGACACTGCACTCCAGCCTGGGCAACAGAGCGAGACTCTGTCTCAAAAAAAAGAAAAAGAGAAAAAAGTAAGACATTTTCATCACCTTGAACATCTAGTTCGGTGGCATGAAGCACATTCACGCTGTTGTGTGACCGTCACCACTATCCCTCTCCAGGACCCTTTCATCTTCCCAAACAGAAGCTCTGTCTCCTTTAAACAACAAGTCCCCATTCCCCCAGCCCCGCCCCGGCAATCTCCATTCTTCTTTCTGCCCCTGACTTTGACTATTCTAGGGACCTCATGTAAGTGGAATCACACAGTATTTGTCCTTTCATGTCTGGCTTATTTTACTCAGCGTCATGTCCTGAAGGTCTGTCCATGCTATAGCACGTGTCAGAATTTCCTCCCTTTTTAAGACTGCATCATACTCCGTTGCACAGATGGACCAACGTTTTATGTACCTGTTCACGCATGGTTGGACACTTGGGTTGTCCTGATGGCTGCTGTGAACCTGGCTGTGCTCCGTTCAAGGTTTTGGGTCTCCTGCACCCTTCTTGTTTTCTTTTCCTTGGAGACAAGGTCTTGCTGTGTTGCTCAGGCTGGTCTTGAGCTCCTGGCCTCAGTCGATCCTCCCACCTCGGCCTCCCCAAGCCTTAGGATTACAAGCATGAGCCACCGCACCTGGCCTATGTTTCTTAGAAAGTTGGCCCCATGGACTGGGGGCGGTGGCTCACACCTGTAATCCTAGCACTTTGGGAGGCCAAGGCAGGCAGATCACAAGGTCAGGAGATCAAGACCATCCTGGCTAACACAGTGAAACCCCGTCTCTACTAAAAATACAAAAAATTAGCCAGGTGTGGTGGTGGGTGCCTGTAGTCCCAGCTACTCAGGAGGCTGAGGCAGGAGAATGGCATGAACCTGGGAGGTGGAGCTTGCAGGGAGCTAAGATCACGCCACTGCACTCCAGCCTGGACGACAGAGCGAGACTCTGTCTCAAAAAAAAGAAAAAAGAAAAAAGAAAGTTGTCCCCGTGGCGGCATGGGTTGGTAATCCCAGTTACTTGGGAGGCTGAGGCAAGAGAATTGCTTGAACCCAGGAGGCAGAGGTTGCAGTGAGCCGCGATTGCATCATTGCACTCCAGCCTGGGCGACAGAGCAAGACTCTGTCTCAAAGAAAAAAAAAAATGGTGGCCCCGTGGCCCCATGCTCTGGGTGGTTGTGGAGTATGTCTCTGATTGAGGATCTTCTTACCAAGGCCCCTAAGCATGTCCTCACTGCGTCCAGGTTGACCTCGCTGCTCAGTACATAAAGGCTGCTGTGAAGAACATTCCCTCAGTGTTCCTGATGACGGACTCCCAGGTGGCTGAGGAGCAGTTTCTGGTGCTGATCAATGACCTGCTGGCCTCAGGGGAGATCCCTGGGCTGTTTACGGAGGATGAGGTGGAGAACATCGTCTCCTCCATGCGACCCCAAGTCAAGTCCCTTGGCATGAATGACACTCGGGAAGCATGTTGGAAATTCTTCATCGAAAAAGTGCGCAGACAGCTCAAGGTGGGACTCCCGTCTTCGGCAGGGCCTCAGGAGCCCAGCTTGGCACCCATGGCTGACAGGATTTAGGTTTTTGCTCTGCATAGAGCAGGGGGACTGATCTTTCACGGGATGTGAAATCCTGTTAGGAGAGTGTGAGGGGTGGGGCTGTCTGATGAACCAGAGCCTGGAGACTTTTTCACGTGGGTCTGTAGAGGTATCTTGGGGCCAAAAGAAGTGTCTTACAGTCGTCCTTTGGTATCTGAGGAGGCTGGATTCCAGGACCCCCATGGATACCAGAATCCACAGAGGAATGGATGCTCAAGGCCCCGATATAAAACAGTGTCATATTTCTGAACACGCTCCCCTCTACTTAAATCATCTCTAGATTACTTATAATACCTAATATAATGTAAAATGCTATGTGAATAGTTGTTATATTTTTATTTGTATTATTTTTTTAAAGAAATTTTTAGTCCATGGTTGGTTAAATCCACAGATGTGGACAGACAGCTGGCTCTGTGTGGACTGCTCCCCACACACAGCTAGTTTAAGTAGATAAATGCACCTTGCACCTTGACTTTCTCTTTTTTTTTTTTTTTTTTTTTAATTTGAGATGGAGTTTCACTTGTCTTCACTTGTCGCCCAGGCCGGAATGCAATGGTGCAATCTTAGCTCACTGCAACCTCAGCCTCCTGGGTTAAAATGATTCTCCAGCTTCAGCTTCCCAAATAGCTGGGATTATAGGTGCCCGCCACCACGCCCAGCTAAATTTTGTATTTTTAGTAAAGATGAGGTTTCACCATGGTGGCCAGGCTGGTCTAGAACTCCTGACCTCAGGTAATCCACCTGCCTCAGCCTCCCAAAGTGCTGCCTGACCACACCTTGACTTTCGACATTGCCTCTAGGGTAAGCAGGCTAAACTCCCCTAGTAGGACAGAGAACCCCTTGGATCTGTTGGCCTCGTCCTCTCCAGAGTTCAGTGGTGCTGCCCTTTGCAGGGTGCCAACCCCATAGCTCTCCTGGGCTGTCCAAAGGCGTCCCCTGATGGGCGCTGCTTGCTCCTGGATCCTCTTTGGTGCCCTGCCAGTGCCAGGTCTGTCCCACACCCTCACATCATCACGCAGTGAGAGGTGCAAAGTCAGCCAGGCAGTGAGCCACCGCCATGAGTAGCAGCATCTGTGCAACACCTACGCCACAAAAGGGGACCAGAGAGCAAGGGCAGCTGGGAGGCTGAGACCCATGACAAGGGAGGTCCTCATCTAGCCAGAGAGCCCCCCCAGGCCCATCTCCACAGCACCTTCTCCAGCTGGGGTCCTAGGGACTCCCTGCCCTTTCTTGGAATTAGCCACTCTCCCTCAGGGCCCAGCGGGGACCCTTCCTGCTGAACTGAAGGACTTGGAGTCTGGCCCGTTCTGGGGCCTCATCTGCCCAATGTGGGTGCCCACTCCCCATTCCTTCCTTTGCCTGGCCTTTTTTTAGAGAGGCAAGGGCCCCTTCCGGAGGGATCGGGACTGCTAGCCAGAGGCACGAAGCCAGATGAGCATTTATCCACTGCAATGCGGCGGCCGCCCTTCAAACCCAGAACTAGGATTGCGCTCCCCAGACCCTGGGCGGCTGAGCCGGGCAGGGCGCGTGGATTTCTGGAAGAGCTTTCTGCAGAGTGATGGATTAGGCCCCAGCACTGCAGTCCCAGTGGCCAGCGCATCTTTGTCTCCCACACCCAGGTGATCCTGTGTTTCTCCCCTGTGGGCTCCGTGCTGCGGGTACGAGCCAGGAAATTCCCAGCTGTGGTCAACTGCACGGCCATCGACTGGTTCCACGAGTGGCCGGAAGATGCCCTGGTGTCCGTCAGTGCGCGCTTCCTGGAGGAGACCGAGGGAATTCCGGTGAGTCACTGCGGCCACTTCTGCCAGAGTGCGGAGCCCAGAGGACAAGGGACAGGTCCAAGGGCTGGCTCCCTGGGAGAGAAGGGCGCTGAGACTAGGGTGAGCCAAGTGAGGCGTCCACCTTGGGCTCGATGTTTAAGAGGCTGCGAGAAACCTCAGGCATCAAGATAAGTGAGGTTTTAATGTAATATTTTTGAAAATCAAAATTAGCGCTAAAAAATTCACGATGAACAAACCATCAGAATTGTAAACCAAGGTGGGCTGTTGGGTTTTTTCATTTCATTGTCCTGCAGTCCTGTGCCAGGGAGGGGTGGTTTCCAATCAGCCCCTGTGTGGCCAAGGCTCCAGGGTCAGTTCAGGAGGGCTGAGGACACGCAGCGTGCGGACAGATCCGGCCACTCAGGCTTTCTACCTTTCCTTGAGCACTGGCTGGAGAGCCTGTATTTGCTGGGATAAGTATATACAAGGGCACACGCCATTGCCTCGTGCACCTCAGGGGAAATGACAGGTCCAACATTGCAGTCTATTTTCATTGAAAGATGGTGCCCAAGGCCAGGGGCGGTGGCTCACACCTGTAATCCCAGCACTTTGGGAGGCCAAGGCGGGCGGATCACTTGAGGTCAGGAGTTCGAGACCAACCTGGCCAACATGGTGAAACCCCATCTCTACCAGAAATATAAAAAATTAGCCGGGTGTGGTGGTGCGTGCCTGTAATCCTAGCTACTCCAGAGGCTAAGGCAGGAGAATCGCTTGAACCCAGGAGGCGGAAGTTTCAGTAAGCCGAGACTGTGCCACTGCACTCCAGCCTGGGCGACAGAGCAAGACTCCATCTCAAAAAAAAACACAAAAAAACAATGAAAGATGGTGCCCATGTTCATTGTTTGAGCTCAGTGCTTGCCTGGAAATTACCCGTAAACCCTGGCTGTCTTTTGACCAACTCAGTAGGGGGCATGAGCAGCCCTTGGAATAAACCACCCTTTATTACCATCTCTTCTTTTGAACACATAAGCAGTTATTAAGTAGGCTAGAATAAACCTGAAACTGGCTTCTCTTTTTCCTAGTTTTTTAAAGATGGGGAAAGAGCCTGCTTGCCAGTAGAGCTTCCATTTATGAGACTGGCCACTCCCAGTAACTCTGCAGCTCAGAGGTGTCCCTTGGAGCACAGATCTGGGTTTCTAGTTCCCAAGGCAGAGACTTCCTAGAAACAGGCATTGGCCCCACCACCAGCACTATATGTGCATCCTGAAATGTGTGTGTTGGATTAATTCATTACTTCTCAAAATGGCCTGAATTAAAATTAACATTGCTGAGACAATTTCTGGGGCAAAGCTCCCAGTGCCTGCCTTCAGGTAGGTGGGCAGGCCCAGAGGGCTGGGGAAAGAGGTTCTAAATCCCAGGACCCAGCCTTGGTAATGAACAATAAATATTTGCAGAATTACCTGGGATATGAAAACATATTCTCAGCCTTGTACTTTTTCAGGTAGGCAGGTTTGTGAATGTGCACGCGTATATATACAGGTGTGTGAATGCGTGTGCACGTGTATAGATGCAGGTGTGTGAATGCGTGTGCACGTGTATATATACAGGCATGTGAATGCGTGTGCACGTGTATAGATGCAAGTGTGTGAATGCACGTGTATAGATGCAGGTGTGTGAATGCATGTGCATGTGTATAGACGCAGATGTGTGAATGCGTGTGCACGTGTATAGATGCAGGTGTCTGAATGTGTGTGCACATATATATGTGCATGTGTGCGTGTATGCGTGTGTGTGCATGTGCACCCCCATACCTGGCTAATTTTTTATATTTTTGGTAGAGATGGAGTTTCACCATGTTGGCCAGGTTGGTCTCGAACTCCTGTATGCGTGTGTGTGTCAGAGATAATGATAATAAGCTCTGCTGTGTCCTGGGCACTGAGCTAAACCTTTCCATGGTGCAATGCCCACAAGAGCCCCAGGATCTGTTGCTTTCAGGAGCCCCTTTGGGCAGTGGAAGACACTGAGGTTGGTCTCGGGGCACCTTGTCCAGGGCTCCTGGTGAGTCCGGGGAGCTCCACTTTGCTGATTTGCAGGATGGGTTCCCAGGGATGACTGGCTGTCTCCTCTTTGTAGCGGGAAGTCAAGGCCTCCATCAGCTTCTTCATGTCCTACGTGCACACCACAGTCAACGAGATGTCCAGGGTGTACCTGGCTACTGAGAGGCGCTACAACTACACCACACCCAAAACCTTTCTGGAGCAGATCAAACTCTACCAGAACCTGCTGGCCAAGAAGAGAATGGAGCTTGTTGCCAAAATCGAGAGGCTGGAGAACGGCCTGATGAAGCTGCAGAGCACAGCTTCCCAGGTAGGAGTGGGGGCCAGCTGCCAGCTCCCGTGCCGTCCCCCGGAGGCCTCGCAGGAGCCGCTACTGTCACAGGCTTCTACGGGCTGGTCACACCGGGGCTCAGCACTGCCTAAAGTAAGATGAGCCTCCTGCCTTTGAGAAGCATTCACTCCTAGGCCAGGGTTAGTATACTTGTCGTAACGAAAAAACAGGCTCAAAATGCTTTCACAATGTTGATCATACAGAGGGCACATTACACAGGGGATGGCACCTGCCCCATGTCTGGTGAGATTTGATCATCATGCCCAATGCAGTCAATAAATATGCATCTGTTCATTCGTAAGTGCCATTCATACCATGGTGCCCGGCTCAAAAACCTCCCTGGATCCTTTCCTTCACGCTGTATTGATGTGTAAGGGTTCTGCCTGCTTCAGACCTCCTCCATCATGCAGTCCTGGTCCTTCGTCTTTATTGCCCACCACTGACACCTGCGAGAGGGCCTGAAAACAGCTGCCACCTCCCTGCTGGAGTTGTGAACAGACTGGCGCCTCCCATTTGCTTCCGGGGGAGCTTTCGCACCCCTGCCCCCCCCCCCACAAACTCTCGCTGTCACTCTCCCAGCAGCCTGGAGGGGCCCTGGCCAGCCCTGCTCAGCACTGCAACTCAGCTGGCATTTGAGACAGAGTCTCGCTCTGTCATCCAAGCTGGAATGCAGTGGTGCGATCATGGCTCACTGCAGCCTCCACTTCCTGGGCTCAAGCGATCCTCCCACCTCAGCCTCCCAGGTAGCTGGGACCACAGGTGCAGGCCACCATGCCTGGCTATATTTTTTATTATTATTTATACAGACAGGGTCTCACTATGTTGCCCGGGCTGCAGCTGATATTTTTCTTTTCAGTCACCTTGCCAACTCCTTTGAGCACCAGGAATGTCTCATACTTGTGACCCTGTGTACACAGTCAGGGCTCAATACCTACTTTTAAGATACTGAAAAGACTCTCCAAACCGAGTCACTGGGAGTCGTAAGACACAGCCCTGACGTTCTGCCCCTCTGTGGCTCCCACCCCTCGTCTGCCCAGTGCAGGGCGGCGTATGTTGGCTGCGGCCCACGCTTGCTGTTTCTTGGTTTCTCCTTCCCCAGGTGGATGACTTGAAAGCCAAGCTGGCAATTCAGGAGGCTGAGCTCAAGCAGAAGAATGAGAGTGCAGATAAACTGATCCAGGTGGTCGGCATCGAGACCGAGAAGGTCAGCAAAGAGAAGGCCATTGCTGACGAGGAAGAAGTCAAGGTCGAGGTCATCAATAAGGTAGGTGAAGGCAGCCCAGTGTGGCCTCAGGAGGGCTGCTGCGCTGGCCAAGCCTCCTGAGCATCCCCATGCGGTCAGGTGCCACCGACAGGCATAGGAAAGGCTGAGACTTACATAGAAGGACAAGGTTCCTAAACCAGTGGGACCCCGAAAGAGGAGTCTCTCCCAGGTGAGGGCCCCCACTCAGAGGCAGGCTTTCCTTAGAATTAACTCCCATCCCTGTGGCCGAGCTCCTCAATGTTCAGCCCCCAGCCCATGGTGGCAGCCTCACCAGGAGCTTGTGAGAAATGCAGGCTCTCGGGCCCCAGCTTAGCTCTGCTCAATAGGGCCTGCATGTTAACGAAATGCCTGCGATCCATGAGCATGGGAGGGGTTGAGAAGACCTGGCTGGAGCCTGGTCCTCAGATGTGCGGCTCCAGACTCCCACACCCCCGCCACAGAGGTAGGACGTTACTGGCCTCGGGTGGGCTCCTTGCTGGTTTTGGGGGTGGCTGAGGTTGAGAACCACTGCTTAGGGGGAGTGTCTTCATCATCTTTGGAGCCTGAAGGTCACAGCATCATTGGTGTAGCTTCTCATCACCCCTCCCTGGGTGCTTTTTTTGTCGTCAGTCCCACATCTGGGTAATTATTTAAGAGCATTCCAGTCATTGCCCACTGTCTCCTGAGTGAATGAATGAGTATGTGCATGGATGAAGGAGTTGCTACTTTCTTGTGGGGGGGGGTAAGCTATATACTCTGAGATGTTCCATTTTGGGTGGATTATGAAACAGCCCCAGAAACAATAAGACTGCAAAGTCAGGGTGGTCTGGGTGGCCCCTGGATTTCCCCTCCCATCTTGGAACTCAAGAATCCCACCCAACTGCCAAGGCATTGCTCATTCTGCCCTGAGCGCTGTGGGGCAGAGCACAGGAGGCAGGGAGGATGGTGGGCTCCAGACAGGGGCCAAGTACACACAGAGGGATGTTGGCAAAGGAGTGTAGTCAGCAAACGCAGCAAATGAGTGGTAGCCAGAGGGGCAGCCTCTTTTGTGGAGCTCAGACCTGCTGGGGCCTGGGCCGCCCCTCACCACTGCTGCCTACACATGCACATATGCACATACACGCATGCAC